GAGGCATTTGGGCAATGCCCTTAATAACATGCTTTAACTTGGTCAGCCCTGAAGTGGTCAGGCAGTTGGACTAGATGATCGTTGTAGGTCGCTTCTAACTGAAATTCTATTCTATATATTTATTCCTTCACTTTGATTTCACTATTAATTTCACTGCTGTTACATCGAGGTTAAATGCGATCCTGAGTATTCACAATAGAATATGTCGGCTGTGTTTGTATTTGGTTGGGGTTTTTTTTAATGTTGGACATCATTTTCTGAAGAGGCAGTAACTGTGTCAGTAACTTTCACGTGCCCCTTTTCTGTTTACAAAGACGACCAAAAATAGCGACCTTGTTCACAGGATACCTGTAGTGCAGGTAATCACAACACAGGAATTTTAGTGATATAAAGAGGAGTATTGCGATTTTGCAGGAACTGCACGGTTTTGCGGTGTGTGGCTCAAAAGCCATGCGACTGACCCTTGGTCTTCTCCGGAGGATTGTACCCCGCATTGTTGTGACAGGGCACGGTGATTCCTGTGTAATCACCAGGCCACTTTGTCATCCTTCTCAGGACTTTTTCTGAAACCTGCCGAGACCAGGATGGAGAAATACCATTTCATTGCCCTCCTCGAACACGGCAGTTTCTGTTGAAGTTCGACTGCATACCAGTGTGAGTCTTTTTACGTGCCATAAGTGATGCTAAATGATCCTGTGGTGTTGGTGTGGGATCAGGAAGACTGCTATGAAAAGAAAGGTAGGCAGACCTATCTGCGAGAGCTTCATATAAACGCACTTGTCAAAATTCTGTTATTTACACTGCTGACTGGCTTTTAGAGCAATTTAATTAAAGAAAAGTTGGCTCTGTTGTGCAGGCTTTTGGTCTAATTGGCTGTCCAAGATGGTCTTTGAATGCTGAATCTGGCCAGGTCCCCTGATTTAAGAGCAACTTGTGGGTTTGCCACAGATTTCAGCTTCTCACACGTTCGTGCTCATATGCCTTTAGGAAGGACAGTGGATGGGACTGGGTATTTCACATCAAAAGACAGGAAATTAGATGTCAAGTAATTTTTGTTAGTTTTTAATCATGAAGTTATTCTAGTTTTCCTCTTCACCATAAACTAATCACCGCTGCCATTCCACATTGACCAGGTCACGGCTCAGCTTCTTGCATTTGGTTTTGTTAGGTCGGTTGTGCCGCTAATCACCGCTGCCATTCCACATTGACCAGGTCACGGCTCAGCTTCTTGCATTTGGTTTTGTTAGGTCGGTTTGTGCCGCTGACGGGTCGGTGTTTCAGCTCTTCCGACTGCTGGCCCTTTTCCAGGGCTTTGGGCTCTGCTCTCAGGAGGAGGAGCAATTGCAACATCTTTACCATTGAGTGGAAACTATTCTTTCTTTTCTTTCTTTTTTATTTTTCCTTTCCCCTACCATTGAAGCTGTTGTGTTTAGGTATCAGGTTGGTAAGAATTTAAGCAAGGCTTACCTTACCGCAATATACGCTTGGGGGGGGGGGAGTTTGAAAAAGGAGCTTCAGTAAGTTTTGCAGATCAAATAATTGTTTTACTTGTTATAATAACAATTCGACAAGCAAATACATTTTCTTCAGCCAACAACTATGACACCAACAATTTGTTATCTTTTCTCCTAAGAATCACCTGGCAATTAACAGTTCCTTTGTTTTTCAAGATATATTTGGAAAAGATTTTGCAGTTTTAATGGCAATTTGTTAGCCTGAGAATGGCATTTTGTCTTCCGTAACAGCTTTTTGAAGGTTACTTACACTAAGCGGGGGTTTGCTTTGGTTTTGAAGAAAGGAAAAATACCCAGTGCTGCCTAGTTTAGCAAAATAAGCAGCAGAAGGGAAAGGGTCAGAACTACCTCTAGGGTGGGACTGCCACAGCTGACAAGTGTTGTCTGTCATCTGTGGCTTTCAGCTTGGCCTAAAGGACTTCAACAAACGATAGCAAATGGTATAGGGCTGGACTGCATGTGTGTCGGTGTAGTCCTTGATCAATCCCTTCAGAAGCCTAGGAGAATAAGAGCAGAGTCAGACTAAGTTGAAAGCAGGCAATAAAATAGCAATGTATTAATATTTACATACCTTTTCATGGAGAGAAAGGACCTCATTTAAGAGCAGCTGAGGAACCGAGAACTGAAGTGATTTGAGGTGGTGGCTGAGCCTTACTGGAATGTGTTTTCTAGCACCTGCCCCCTGCTCCAGTCACTACGCTGCTGCCCAGGTGGAAGAGCTCCTCTCTGAAACAAAAAACACGCTGTGCTAGTACAGAGCCTCCTGAATTTTGCACAGATTTCCTACTGCACTTTAACGCTGCGCTGCTGCTGCTGTGGTTGGTGACTGTAGTGCTGCCGCAGGAAACAAATCCTGTGGCAGGGCAACTGCAGAGGGCATCGCGGGAGAAAAGGGGCCATTTCATTATTTCTGATCTCCTGTTGTCTCTTCACCTTATTCAGAGGTACTGGCGCAGTCCTGGCTCAAGGACTTAGTCACAAACTCACGCTGTAATCTGTTTCTGGATGACTAACTGTTGTCAGCTGTGCTAAGGGCTGTGATCTTTTGCTGTTCCCCAAATAAGTTTCATGCTCATCACTTTAATAATTATCTCACTCTGACTGGAAAGACAGAGTAGCATCGAATCTTTTTATACCAAATTGGTCAAATTTGTGTTGTTTTCTGATACAGTGATATAAGGAGCTCCATTCTTTATCATCACTTAAGCTATCTGCTACTGCTCTTCCCTTCTCCCGCTGCCACTGATCCAGCATGGGTAGCAGCCACATGGACAGGAGTGCCAGTGCAGACGCAGGTTTGTGTGTGACGGTGTTTTCAACCTCCTACCGCCTCTGCGATCCCTAGAGTGAATCTAAAATCTCAGCGCACCAACACTTTATTCCCACTAGGTATACCGAGAGCAAGTTACGCTGTGAACCGGTGAAAGATGTAGCAGAGATTTTTGGTCATGACGATACAAAACCATCTTCTCTCTGCGAACAAGCCCTGCTTAGTTACACAGAAGCCATTTATTATTTGCCAATACCGGTTTTTATGAGATAGATAAATTTAAAAAAAAAAAAAAAAGAAAAAAGCATTTCTTTCTGCCTCATCAGAAGTATTTTTACAAGTAGGTTCCCAGTTTGCAATATGCTGCTGTTTTGGCAATCACAAATGTGAAACAACCAAGCTCGCAGTGGGTTGTACCCCTGTTCCTGCCCGCTCGCTGTGAGAAGGGAAGCAAATACGGATTTTGCCACAGGAGATTAATCAAAGATGCTGTTGCCCTCCACAATGTAAATTATTTATATTCAGTCCAGAGTTTTCTGCTGTGCTTCTGTTTTATACAGCTGTATACTTGGATACAGCCCCAGTGGAGAGTCCTTACTATTTTGTAATGGAAAAAAGGAACTCTGCAGTAGAAATCTATAATGAATGAACAGGAACATCATCTTCCAATTGTAAATAAGATCTTGTTCTGTTTATTTTGACATCTTTTTACAAATGTGTTGCATCCAGGTGTAAATAGCCCAAACCATGATCTTGTTCAGAGTTCTGAGATTTCTATTGTTAAATATAAAACTTTGTTTAATAGTTGTAATAATTATTTGTATAGATATGAACATGATAGTATTTTATTAAAAAAAAAAAAACGCTCTTTGAATAGTGTATTCTTTTTGGTACAGCTTCTTTCCCCATGGAAAGCCAGGCATTTCACTCTTCAAGATAAGTAAAAATAAAAGCTTTGTGTAATTTACAATGATAGTTCTCCACTGATGTATAACCTCTGCATATACCAGAGTTATGCACCACTTTTATTTAGATATATAAAACTACATAATCCAGAAGAAACATATACTGGTGATGACATACCTAAATAATGCATGGCAGATGCTGTCCCTGCCCAGATAACGGTGATCACTGTGTTAAGATACAACCTCAGCTTTATAAAATGCTTCTCATCATGCACTGCCGTGTTGGTTGTGAAGTGCACCAAGAGAGTTCTTTTGTCACCGTTTGAATCTAAAGGATGTGGCTGAGATGAGACTGGCACAGAGACGCTGCAAGGTAAGTAAAGGCTTTTTGGGAGGCTGCATAATACAGGAGGAGCTGACAGAATTGCTGTGAAACAATTCCTTTCAGGGGCTCCAGGATGCCTTACTTGTAGACCTCAAGATTCTTGTGGATGCTGAAGATGCCTTTATGGAAGATGATTTTTTTTTTTTCCAATTAAAATTTAGTATTAAGACAGATGAGCTTCTATTTTGTTACTTTAGTGACAGCCAGTATCTATAATTTAATGAATTAAATTAAAAACAGAGATGGCCGCGGTTCAGTAGAACATCAGGAAGATGTGTGCACGACTAAGGACAGTCTCTGAGCAGTCACAGTAACCTACTCTCATCCCACTTTCCCTACCTTGAGAGGGCAGCTCAGGCCCGAGAGCTGGCAGGCAGGGCTAGTTAACTGCACCATGCACTGCCCAAGAGCAACAGCCCCAATTTCAGGGTCAGCATGTCGACAGCACAGTGCATAAAGGTGGAGTTCCCTGCTGTAGCAACCAGCTCTTCCCTATTGTAGTAGAGGGCAGGGGAGACAGGGCAGGAGGCATCTGAATACCTCCAAGGCTGGGCTGATGCCCTCGCCACTGGCTAACTACAACAGATGCAGGTGCAGTACTTACCTGTGGGAGATGGAGCAGGGCTGCTGGCACAGTTTCCACCAAGGCCCCAGCAGCGCCCCTGGGGCAGTGAGGTCCCGCTTGTCAGCCCTCCAGGCCTCCTCCAGGCTGAAAGCTGCTGGGGCCCTCAGACCTGCTGGGCTCATCAAATGCTTTGTACAGCCACGTGCACGCGTACATGAGGGAAACCACATACAAAAGCACAAGTGAAACTGGCTCAAAGTATTTCTTCCCCCATCTTAAGCTAGAGGTGGAACACACCCACAGGCAGCGTACCTCAGTCTCAAATACACCCTGTTAAGTACCGGATAAACTCAGTATCTCCCTGTTGCTGTCATTGCTAACTTCCTCCCTCGCCAAGGACCCTTTTGCTCTGTGTAGATGCCGCTGTTTTAATAGGCACAAAATCTACATTTAGCTGTGGCAAGTTAATGTTTCCCCTAAAACTGTGCCTTCGCATTTCAAAGTACAGCATACTCCTCCTGCCTTGGCTGCTCTTCTACCATCCCAGAGGTTTTAGTGGTAGTTGTAACACCGTCAGCTTGCATGATCCTAATAACTTCCCTAAACTGTGAGGGGGGGGTTCATCATTATTATTATACAAAAGCTATTTCTGTCTCCCTTGAGTTGTACCGGGCAGAACAACAACTTTGCATTTCCTGAGAAAACAGGGACTATATGGTTGTATCCACCTCCTCTCTATGGCTGACGTCAACACAGCTGTGGGAGAGGGGAGGCAGGTTCAGGTGACCAGGAGCTGTGGAAAGAGAAGAGCACAGTAGAGGGAAGAGACAGGTCACATTGCTGGGGGGGAGGTAGAGCAGAGCCTGCTCAGCAGCAGCTTTCTGGCCATGCACCACCCAAAATCGCTTGACCCAACCACAGCACTGGTTTTTAGTTGGGAAAACGCTAAGAGGCCTAGGCTGGTGTAGGAATGGGGAAGGCATCACAGGAGGTGTAACACAAAAGTTATACAAACCTGAGTGGTAGCAGCTCTTTTGCTCATAAAAACAGCAAACATGTCTCGTGACTTGGCAAATAAGCCTAAGTATTTAATGACCAACTGCAGAAAAGCTTAGGGCAGGTGTTCCTGGGCAGATACAACTTCCACAACATACCGAGAGTTACTCTGGCAGCCGCCACTTCCAGCCAGGCCAGCTCCTGCTGCCTTTGAGCTCCTCAGCCCCTACAGCGAGCCGCTTAAACTCACTGAGGAGGGGATCCACCAGAAAAGTGAACTGTTTGCTTCCCTTTCAAGGGCTGTTAAAATAGTTTGTGCTGAGCATAGGAGGGATGAGCACATGATGGGGGAAAGCAGGGACCCCGCTACCGGCCCATGGGCAGCAGAAGGGCCCCACCTCCTAACACAATGTACACCAGCTGCTCCGCTTGTCTCCCTACACACCTCTGACTAACACTGTTTCACTCTGAACAGAGAAAGGTGAAACAAAGTGACACCTGCAAGTCAGGGAACACAGGTCCCCCACCTACCATTCTTCATTCCCTGAGGGCAGTCACCTGGAAAAGGGCAGTGGGACTAAAGGGACAAGCCGCACTTCAGGTGCGGAGGGCTGCATAGTCGAGCTTGACTAGGACAGCTGGGAGACACAGAGCTGCCCCTGTCCCCAGCCAGACACCCCACCAGCCAGAGCCCTCGAGGCACCCCTGCAGCCGCCGGGTCAGGCTGGGCCCTGCACCAGCTAGGTAGGAAAACTGAAGTACAAACAGAAACCGGCAGGCAGGGCAAAGCTAAGAGGAAATTTTAAAAACTGATGCATCAAGCTGCAGGCACAGAAGCAGCGGGGAGAGGATTCCAACCCTTCCTCTCATCTCTTAGGCTTGAGGTGCCTTTCCTTGTATTTAATTTCATTCTCTCACATTCTTCTGCTTGTTCTGTGATGTTCTCCACCCTTCCCCAGCCTCTCTCTCCCTCACTGCTGCTACCACCTTGCTATTCGCATACTGCACTCATCTCTGCTTAGCCCAGCAAGCCCGTACGTTGCTCTTCTACCTCCTACATTGAGCCTTCCAACTGCTGTTCAACATTAGTTTTTTTTCTCGCATTCGTATTTAGAGAAGATAACCGGCTTCCTGGTTAGAAACAAATACAAGCTTAGAACAAGGTCTGAGACTACAGACTACGGAAGACACAAGGAGAAGGAATATCTTTTATCAAAATGTGTGTCCAAAACTGGACAAACACTGGGGGACACAAGCCCTTCTTCTGTCTGGCACAGAAGCGATATTCCTACTACCCCAACGTCTTGTCCTACGTCCTTGACTTCTGCGCACCGCAAAATACACCAAGAGCAGAACATACTTGTTCAAGAGGCAAAGGTGCTCATCTTTCTCCACACCTAAACATGGGGTAAGGGCAGTCCTGCAAGGCTGCCCACTTCATATGAAAATATTCAGTGGGCTCTGGAGTGCTTTGCATGGTGCAATTGCAGCTGCATGGACACCAGAGAAACCAGGCAGTTAAAAGATTAAAGGCTGGTGCAGTTCCTACAGGAGGCAGATGCTCTTAACCATTGAGCCTCAGGCAACAGCAGGCAGTATCTCCACTTCAAGCACCTTTAATCACCCCAGCATAGCCTCCCACCTGACAAGCTCCTACCTTAGATGAGATCTACACATCTCTCTCCAGGTCCCAGAGGAGCAAGGCAGACCTTGCCTCAAGTAGAGGCTTCTTTTGGTTTAGCGCTTCATGGGAGTTGGTGCTCAACCTGCTGGTGCTAGCAGGCTGTGTTCAAACCCCATGTGCCCCCAGCACCCAGGGATTTATCCTGCCCACAGCAGCACTGCTGTCCTGCAAGCACCTCTCCACACAAAGCCTTGTAACCCACCCTGAAGGCGCACAGGGGGCTCAACCTGAACTTTTCCAGGCACTTGCTAGAGCAAGACCCTGTTCACACAAGGCCCATGGTGAGGACTCCATCAGGAAATTTTCTTCCCTCCTTCTCCTGCTACGTCCCCCAGTCCTGGCTCCAAAGCACTGCCCCACTTGCTCCCTAGCTCACCTCAGCAGCAAATGATGTGACCATCACACAAGCACGTCACCTCCCACCAGATCTACCACTGCTGCTCTTCATGCAGCTTCCAGGTGGCACCATGCAGCAGGGCTCCATGCAGCCGTGCCTCAGACCTCTGCTCCTGCTGCTGGGGCCAGGACTAGAAAAAGCAGTGAATGGATGGTGCTGGCAGCAGTGCTATCGCTGCACGTTACCACCTGCCCTCCAAGTAGAGCTCTGGAAAGAGCACATCCTGCACACCCCAGATATTATTACAACAAATTTTGGTTGCACTGGTCAGAGAACTGGAAGTGCAGTACTTGGGGTCCTACAGTAGCCCTTGCATTTGCAGGGAGGGGGACGGGGCAGCACAGAGCACATGTTGCAAAAAAGCTGTTGGGTCAAACATTCATATACCTCTAGGTACAGAAACCCAGGTGGCTCCACCTGCACAGCATGTTTATAACTGTGCTGGGCAAGACAGAGCACCACAGCCTCACCAGGAGTCCCTGATGGAGGCGGTTTAGTCTTGCTGCACTTGGCAGTAAGGATTTGGGGGTTTTTTTGCACCTCAGACTTCCTGGCAGTCTTTCCTTATGGGAAGAAAAAGGAAGCTGCAGGCAAGCCTGTGTAGCTAATATTGGGAATTCTGCCATTTTAGACAGACCAAGAACATATGGCAAGGCTGTAAGGTAACTGAACGGAAAATCTGGACTATCCTCAGCCTGATACTCCTCTGCTGGTGCTACTCAGACAAAAGCAAGTGCCATCTCCTTCCCTGCAGCCCATGCTGACACTGTTAAGGAAGAAAAGCTCGTGCTTCACAACAAGCCTGAGAAACCTACCCCTATTTCTAGCATCATTGAACGTTCACACTCCATCTGCATGGCAAACCTGCAAGTCACACCCAAAGTATTGCAATAAAACGCAGCACACAGGGACCACCACCACCTTCTGCA